TTATAAATGAACCTTTAAATAAAAATATAAATTATATAATAACTCATAATACTTATAAATTTATAATTACAGTTATTATTATTTTATATTATTATTTTTAATTTAATATAACGTGAACATAGATTTATCGTAAATTTTCATTATCAAAATAATTATGATTACAAAAAAACCTACCGCGCGAAAAAGCTTTGCTGAGAGGAAAAAAGAAAAAGGAAAAATGAAAACAAAACTTCCGCGCAATTGTCTTCCATTCTCTCGCCGCGCACTCAAGTCAAGGTTGTCGTTTTCGCAGCGCGATCACCGGCTACCCTCTATAAATATCACCACCTCTCTTTGAATGGATCACTACAGCATTTACTTTCCTTTTCCGGAGTAGCGTTGATTTCAGCTGGTGGTGCTCATCGAAGTAGTAGAAGCAGGTCGAGATAATGGATGAGAGCGTTGAGGCTGGGTCATCTCTTCCCGACAATCCATTAGGTAAAGGGTATTGGGGTTCTATTTTCGTTTCTTCTTCTTTTTACCATTTTCAATGCTTCCTAGAATGTTTTTAGATACTTTTTGAAGGCATCTGTCAGTTGGATATATTGTGGATGAGCTTTATTTGAAAAATGTTTTTAGACAGGACTAATTAGGGGCTATGAAATGAGCTTAATTATAGTTTTCTATTTAAGAAATGTTCATAATTGCATTGATTTTCAATAGGGAAGATTTCAGTTCAATCAGAAATCATAATATGTTACTATCTCCGTTCAACATAAGTTGTCATAATTTGACTTCTTGACTTTACGGGCGTTAATTTTAATGAAAATTTAACATAGTTTGCAAATCACAATTGTAAGTTTCTTTTATCAAATGAAACTACTCAACAAAAACTATATATTGGAAAAAGGAAAAAAGAAAAAAGAAAAATTGCAATTGTCATTAATATATTTTGTTAAATTTTTATTTAAAATTAATATCCAAGAAGTCAAAAAGTCAGTCCAGAACTACTAAAGTTGAATGGAGGTAATAAATGCTTGAGGAAATGTGTTGTGAGTACTAACATAGAGTCTTGGGGTTTGCGATTAAGTAGTCACCCTCCACATTAATAAATTGAGGATTGTACTTTTGGCAACTCTAAGTGTGCTACGAGTGGTTCTTGCTTGCTGCAGCATTCCTTAACAACTTGCTCATGTATATATGGTCCATTTTGTTCCCCTGCAATTATAGTTGGTCCTAATTTAATCCTATTATTAAATTAATATGAATGTGGAAATACTCTGGCATGCATTCCTTTTCTACATTTTGTTTCAAATTCTTTGCAGTACTTAATGCCTTATAATTGGCATGGTGCAGGTATTGAGCAGATACACTTAGAAGCACAGAATCAGTGGTTATCCCAAGCTCCAATATTGGGAATTCTTCAGAATCATGAGAAATTTGGCATTAGCTCAGAACTCCCTAATAAGCCACCAAGTACCATTCCCCCAACTTTAATTGCCATAATAGCTATAATTCATTTTGCTAGATAAATGACAATTGTTCTGATGGCATCTGTAACTGGCATGGACTAAACCTTGTTTTTGTATGGCAGTGCATCTCTTCCATGATTAGATTTCCTCTGCATTGTATTTTCTTTCAACTCTTTTGTTTTTTTGGGCACCTCTGCAACTGGTTTAGATGTTTACTAGTTAAATATTTTTCCCTGTTCTTTAGTTGCTCTGATCCTTTATTATTATCTATATTCTTTCTTCACAGAATGTTTTTAATCTCACTTCTCTTCATTTATTTTGTACGTGACGTTTTGGGAGTTGGATTTTGCTTCTGACGTGATTTCTCAAGTTCCATCAACAGAGATCATTTACTGCAATTAAAATCTATTTCTAACAAGAATGTGCTTACTTTATTTCGCTTATTAATTTCTTTGGAATGATGCTTCTCTTATTTTCTATTAAATGAGAATACATTGGAAAAAAATTATGTCTTTTGTTTGATCTCTAAAATTAATTAGCTTATTTGTTGCATGCCAATAATTCCGAGGAGATAAATCCAATTCCTTTCATGTGTACCTGCAATCAGGTAGCTCTATTCTGTCATCAACATTGGTGGCTTATGGATTACCAAACTTGCCCTTCCTAAGCAAAAACGTGCACTTGCACATGCAGCCATCTTGAAGTTTGCTTCAAATCACATCTTGATGTAATATATGTTTCTGTTTCAGGTGGTTCGCTTTTTCTTTTTGATAAGAAGGTGCAAAGGCACTTTAGAAATGATGGACATAATTGGAAAAAGAAAAAGGATGGGAAAACATTATTGGAGGGTCATCAGACACTCAAGGTAAGAGCCAAAGATGCTGGATTTTGTTCTATGTTTTAACACTGGCAAATAATTCTTTGGAAATCATTGAAACATGTAAGCAACACAGCTACATTCTGGTACTTTATTATTTGGTTATTGTATTGAATTCTGATTGGAGAGCATCTTTTTTGTGCTTCCAATCTATTATTTTTTGAACAATCATTATTTCTTTCAGAACGAAAGCTTTGGTGATTTGGATTGCTACTATGCCCATGGGGAGGAGAATAGAAATTTTCAAAGACGTTCTTATTGGATGCGTAAAGGGTGAGTTTGTCAATTTCTTTTTGGTGAATGGCTCAAAAAGAGGGGGTAGAAGTGTGAGATGTTGGTTGAATTGTATTAAGTTGGTGATTGCAAATTTCATATAGATTTTTTTGAACTCTTTCTGTTGCTAACGTAAATAACCATTACTGCAGGGACTTCTCCCACGTTGCTTTTGTCCACTACCTGGAAGTAATGGTTAGAATTTATGATTTATCCTATCACTCCTCCTTTTGTTTCTTTCAGCCATCTTCCAAAATGAACCTAAGAAATTTATTTTCTTCTTTTTACTTTTAACTTCTTGTGGAGATCATGTGGCTCAAGCGATTACAACTTTCCAGAATAAATTGCAAATTTTGAAGTTTTATTAAGCCAAATTTATAGGAGTATGCTGATATACTATCAGGCTGTTGATGTTGTGTCTAACTCTACCATCCTTAACTCCATAAACTAATAGAGCCTTATCATATTTGGGTATGTGAACGAATTTATTTCCTGGATTCCAACCAGGTATGTCTTTACCTCCTTTTTCTTGATCTTGGTGTTATGTCTTTTAATTCTTTAATCCTTTTCTGTCCTCATTCTCATTTTTCCTTTACTATTTTCAGTGGCCTTACCCTGAACCATCCAAAGTGCTGGATGTTGAGTTGTCCCATAAAGAGAATAGTTGTTTTCATATGGATGATAAAGATGTTGTAATTTGTCATTTTCCTGAATTATACAATGTTTTTCCCCTCCATTTATTGCCTTGCTTTCCTTTTTTCTTTCTTCTTTTTTTTTTTTTTCCTTGAAGGGAAGTAACCTTGTTCACGACACAGCCTATGAAGGACACATCAAACTTATATCTAAAACCTTCAATGTCTTTGCTACTAGAAAAGCCTGTTATGGCACAAATGTTAAGATACATTTCTGGATGGTAGACTGGATGTTCACATTGTAAAATTTGGATCCTATACTTTTTGTTAAGATTCCTGAACAGTTTCATTATAGAGCCCTTTTTTTCTTTTTTCTTTTTTTTTTGGGTCCAAAATTGTATCAGGGAAAAACAACAGATTCTAGTTGTGTTAAAGAGACTCAAGGAGCTGGTCCATATTCCCAAGAAACCAAAGATACTATGCCCAATTCTGAAATTGGTGGTTCTGTGCATTCCAGTTCTCATCTAAATAATTGTCAAGTAAGAGAAAATACTGATACAACGTGGCTGAATTGTGCACAGGAATGGAAATGTGAAAGTGCTCAATCAGGTTAGTTTCAATACGTCTAGGTTTTCCAGGATATCATAAATTGCAAATCTATTCAATTTAGAAAATGTAAGATAGTTTTCTGGATGAATGCATTAATGTCTTTCATATTCAACTGATGAGTTTGACAGTTGATATAGAATAATCACCAAGCAAGTTCTGGATTGCACTCTGTTTCTGAACCGGGATGGCCTGCTGCAAAAAAGTGATGCTGCAGGCTCTGACCCTTATGATCCTCCAAGTAAAATAGTTATGTATGCTATTTTATTATTTTGAGTTAAAGTTTGCTTTTTCACCTTTCTCTAATTCTTAGTACTTTTTACTCTGAACAGATAGTTTTTGTGAAAATTTGTCAGCTTTTCCTGGCATAGATTTTTCCACCACTCAACTAGGCAAGGGCAAAAGTGATAATGACGCTGAATTAGCTTGGCCAAACGTTAGTTCTATGCCATGGAAAGATATCTTTGCTGCTTGTACTAAGCATATTCCATATCAATCTGGGTTTCCCTCCTCACCTCCTGATATCAGGGGTAAGCTTTTCAGCAACAATGTTGTTGGAGACCTAGACAATGGGGATTTGCAGAGTCAAATAGAATCTAAGGTACTGTCTGCTTAACATTGCTAAAGTTTTCATGCATCAAATCACAGTATATATCAAGCATTTTGCTTCCAGTTTAATTATTTTGTCTTTAATTTGAATTCCAAACAGGCTTCATTTGAGGATTTTTCATCTTTCTCTAATTGGCTAATGGAGGAGAAATTATATTCAGAATCAGCATGTTCTCTAATTGGCTAATGGAGGAGAAATTATATTCAGAATCAGCATGTGAAACTACTTCTAAATCCATGAAATACGGTGAACATGATCATGTTCTTCCACCTGATTCTGATGACTACTTAAACTTGAAATATGAAGAAGGTTTTAAGAAGCTTGACAGTTTAAACCACTGGAATGGTAAGGAACTTGGAGATGGTACAGATGTAGATGAGTTGCATATGCTACCCGGTTCTGGGGCTCTGCGGGGAACCGTTGAAAATGAAAATGGGATTGGGATTGGTGTTTCCAGCATTCCCACTGAAGGACAAGTGCAAACCTTTGTGCCTGGTCCTTCCACATCCCAGGACCAACTCTTTAGCATCGTTGATTTCTCACCAAATTGGGCATATGTAGGCTCTGCAACCAAGGTCAGCACATTAATTTTTTGTTTATCTATCATCACCATTTATGGGATGAATATATAGGGATTGTAATAGAGCATACTTCCTCACTGGAGTTGTATGTACTATGGTGAGACTTCTTTCTTCTCAGGTACTAGTGTTTTTTATTTCCTAAGATCTTCCACAACTCATACAGGTTCTGATTGTGGGAAGATTTATGAAGAGTCCACATGTGTTAGAAAATTGTAAATGGTCATGTATGTTTGGGAAGGTAGAAGTTCCAGCAGAGGTTATAGCAGATGGTGTTCTTTGTTGCCATACTCCAACACATGAGGCTAGCAGGGTTCCTTTCTATATCATGAGCTCCAATGGATTAGCTTGTAGTGAAATGCGAGAATTTGAATTCCGAACTGTTCAGATTGAAGATATTAACGCTGCAGAAAACTATAATGGTAGTGCTAATGATAATCTTCAATCACGATTTGATAACTTGTTAAGCTCAAGCTCCAAGTTAACTACTTCTGATCCCAGCAGTTGGGGTCATATATCCCAGTTGAGCAGTAAAATCAGTTCATTGCTGAAAGTGGCCTACAAAGAATTGGAACAGATGTTAAAGACTGGTTCAGTAACAGAATTTTCCTTTGAAAAATTTAAGGACCAGCTGCTTCAGAAGCATCTGAAAGAGAAGTTGTATTTATGGATCTTACAGAAGGTAGCTGAAGGAGGTGATGGCCCTAGTATATTGGATGAGGGTGAACAAGGTGTTCTTCATTTGGCAGCTGCACTTGGCTATGATTGGGCTTTGGAGCCTACTGTACTTGCTGGTGTAAGTGTTGATTTCCGTGATGTGAATGGATGGACTGCACTTCACTGGGCAGCATTTTGTGGCAGGTGAACATCTCTACAATTCTTTTCAATATTTCTTTAGAGTTTCCTTTTCCTCTGTTTGTTTATCTTTTTCCCTTTTCAAGTATTTTATTGTTGTCCACAAGAGAATATCCAAAGAAGACTAAAATAATGGCTCTATAGGTTAGCAAATACTCCATAACGAGGAAACTATATCTTTCTTAAGTTTCATATTCAAAAATATGTGAAAAATACCATCTCGTCTGACATTTCATGCTTAGCCTATGTATTATTTACTCAATTATTTCTGACCCATTCATCTTTTATGTGCTGCTTCTATTAACATAAACTTCTTCAACTTCAGAGAGCACACGGTGGCTTCCCTCAGTTCATTAGGTGCAGCTACTAGAGCATTAACACATCCATTACCTAAATATCCCTCGGGCAGAACTTGTGCTGATCTGGCGTCTGTCAATGGACACAAAGGAATTGCTGGATTGCTTGCAGATTGCTCTTTGGATGTCCACATTCCATCCATTAATTTGGATCACCAAGACGATGCTGCAGGACCAAATGCGGTACAGAAAATTTCAGAAATTAGTGCAGCACCACTTAGCTTAGGGAATGCATCAGATGGCCAGTCACAAAAGGACTCATTAGCTCCCACCTGTGATGCTGCCACTGCACCAACTGTTTTGACGAAAATTGTGCTCAAGGTGGATGTAGCTCGTAACAAGCAGAAGCATAAGGCCATGACGTCAGTCTGTTCTATCCGAGGTTTGTTTCTTTTAATTCTCTCGTTTTATTTAAAAAAAAAATCAAATTTAAGTAATTTTTAGCGCATGCTTCCTTTTTAAAATATATAACTCCATCTTGCAAAAGCATTTTTAGCTTTTTACCTTCTTGGAAAATGGTCTTGTGTTAAAAAGACTTTACTGACTCATATTGATTGTGTTATTAGGACAGATGAGACTCCGCAAGAATTAAAATCTTATTCATATAAATAATTTATTATTAATTATTTGTTGGATTGTGTCTTTATTTCCTTGTCTTTCTCATGAATTTGAATAATTCTGAAAAAAATGGTATGCCGCTTGTTAATTCTTATGGGCAAGTCCGATGTTAGCAACCTTACTCTTCAAGCAAGCATGATGGCTTTGATGCTTTCCTACACAGCCTCTTGATCCTAATAAACCTTTGTCTGACGTTTACGTTAAGTTGGCGTGACAGACACTTGATTCTAAATCCATGTGTGTTATGCCTTTTGTTTATTCCTTTTGGATTGGTTTTGGTAAAGAATGGGTAAATTTTTCCATAATTATGTTTTCCTGATTTTCCTGTTTTTGATTTGCAATGGTCATAGGAATTGATCATATCATTTTCGACATGAAAACACGGCGAATGCAAGTCGTTGGAGCAGAAATTGATCCTGTGGTTCTTGTTGGTAGACTACGCAAAATAGCTTGGGCAGAGGTACTCTCAGTAGGACCGGCTGAGCGAAATGAGGGAGAAAAGGATGAGGTGAAAGATGACGAAGAGGGACCGGACAAGGACAAGGGGCCGAACAACGGCGAGGGGCCGAAGAAGGACGAGGGGCCGGAGAAGGAGAAACAAGAGGGAAAGAAACGAGCCCCAGACCCTGCTCTGGAGAGTGGGAAGGCATGCAAGATTTTGAAGGTATATTTAGCATAAAAGGCTCTGTTGACTGCATATTACAATGTTCAAAGCATGGAGACAATCCAAATGCTTGTGCTAGTATTTGTTGGGGCCAGTGGCGGAACCACATATCGGCCAGGAACGACCACGCCCCCCCCTGATCTTTTGAAAATTTTTTAATTAGCACCGCTATACTTTAAAAAGTATAAATAGGACCTTAAGATTTTAAATATAAAATAAGAATTTATTAATTATTTGACAAATTATTAGATTATATCTCTTGGTTTCGTTTTAATTTCAGTTAAATTTGGCTTTAATGGTTAACATAGTATCTCTGCAAGAAATTTTTAAAATTACTTTGTATTATTGTGTTTCACCTTTTATTTTTCTTTGATAATATTTAAGGAAAAGATAAAATTTTTTTTATTTTGTACATGTAGTTGGTTATAGGTGAATGGTAAGTTTTGTTTTTTAGTGTAGAAGACCACTATGTATAAATAATGTAAAATTTTAATTTTTATATTATCTCTAATTATTATGATAATTTTAATTGGTTATTAAAGAATTGTATCATGTGGGTTATTTTATCCTTAAGGATTACACCATGCAAATGACTACAATTAATTTGGGTACAAATGCAATAATTAATTTTATTGAAAATTATCTAATAGCATGGGATCATAAACTCTAATCATATCTTCAAAATACAAATGACTAGAATTTGGTATATTAATTACTTAAAATATCTTCACTAATAAAAATTTGAATGAATTGGTATCTAGTACCCGCTAAGTTATTAATCTTGATTTACAATAGTATAAACCTTTGTAATTTGCAATTAATCTTTAACTAGCAAAAAAAAAATCTTTAAAACATCTTAGTTTTATTGGTTAATTTATATTAATATTTTGTAATAATGATTTCATTTAAAACTAAAATCTATGAGTAATCACATAAATGTTAAGTAATTTTTATAAAGTTAAAGCATGTGATTTTAGTTTTTATAATAAAAGTCTTAGCCTCTTTTTTATATGTTATAATTCTAGCAAAATCCATCTTTTTCAATATTTTTAAGTTAAAGATGCAATTTGATATTTTAATTTTTTTTCTTTTATAATTTTGCAATTGGCCCCCCTAAAGATAAATTCCTACCTCCGCCACTGGTTGGGGCATTGAAAAAAATTGGAGAAAGAAAGCTTTCTCATATTGATGATGGATTTGAACTGTCAGCCATTCGCGTATAGGGGAGGAAACACTGGAGGAATTAAGCGTATGTTTCTATGTATTTTGGTTTTACCACCATTGATCTGTTTGAGCAGGAGTGATGTTGATGTAGGAGTAGGACCGCTGGCTGTGGGGGAATTTATTGGGGATGAATTTAGGGTTTTCTTAGAGATATGATTGCTCATGTAAACAGTAACAAATGATTGTACACTAGGTGCAATGGTTTGTAGGTTCCATCAAACGGCCACGATATCAGTCGTTTATAAAACTTTTTAACATCATGGTTAGTGATAAGTGATGACTTGACTAACAAATTGAAAAGGTTATATGGTGAGGTTTTTTTTCCGCATTAATAATTAATAGTTTGTGGATTAAAATTTATTTTTATTGATAAATTTATTTAATTTAATTATTATTTTAGCCACCACATAAAATTATTAATTCTTAATTTTGAAGAGAAGGACAAATTTTTTTTTTTTTAAATTTAGGACCAAATTAAAATTTTTTGGTTTAGGAATTAAAACTGTACAATACTTTAGAGTTCAATTTGAGCTTTATTATTATTATTTTTTTGGCCATGTTTATATCTTTGCTGAAAGATGGAAGAACTCAATATTCATGAGGAATTTTCGGAGTAAAAATGTAAATAAAAATGTTAACTTTACACTTTTTTTTATTTAAGGATATTAATTTTGTCAGTTTTTAAATAAGGATGTCAACTTTCAATTTTTTCTAAATAAGGAAGTCAACGTTCGACTTTTTCTATTTAAGGATGTCAACTTTCAACGTTTTCTATTTAAGGATTAATTGAGTGATAATGCTGACGTAGTTAACATATATTTTTAGGTTAAATACTTGAATTGGTCTCTCAACTTTTATTTTTAAACCAATTCATCCTTAAACTTTAGCAAGTACCAAAAACGTCCTTCAACTTTAATTTTTAGCCCTAATTTCATCTTTTCGTCAGTTAAGTGCTAATGTAGTTAATTTTTTTGCTAAGTGATTGACTATTTTACATTTTCAATATTAGGTGGAAAATCCATCTTGTAAAAGATGATTATGGGGATTTTTTTAATTTTAAATAATTTAAAAACTACTTTAATTCTTAATTTTATTTTATTTATATTTAAAAATTAAAGCAATTAATATATTTTCCTATTTAATTAGTCCCACCTACCATAAAAAACTCTTAATTTATAAAGAAATAAATTAACTCTCATTTAATTTTATCAAATCAAATCTCACATACTATACTTATTTTCTAATTTATGGAAGAATTAATTAACTTTTATTTAATTTTATTAAATGGAATTAAAATAAAATTAAAATAATTTTTTAGCTCTTCTTCCTCAACCTTCTTTTTTGTTTAAATTATTAAAAAGAATTGTAATTATTTTGG